CAATGTAGGTTTCCGTAGTGTAGTGGTCATCACGTTTGCCTCACACGCAAAAGGTCCCCAGTTCGAAACTGGGCGGAAACAACAAGAAGGAACTTTTTCTGAAAATCTACTGTGGTATTTTGTTTTTGGACATTAATGAATTTAACTTTTGTGTTATTTTATCCAAAATGATAGAAAAAATGTGAAAATTACAACTGTGTAGGTTTCCGTAGTGTAGTGGCTATCATGTTTGCCTAACACGCAATAGGTCCTCAGTTCAAAACTGGTCGGAAACAACATAAGGAAACTTTTTCTGAAAATCCACTGTGGTATTTTGTTTTTGGACATTAAGGAATTTAACTTTGTGTTTTTTTTATCCAAAATCATCAAACAAAATGTGAAAATCACAGCTATGTAAATTTCCGTAGTGTAGTGGTCATCACGTTTATATGCCAAAGGTCCCCAGTTCGAAACTAGACGGAAACAAAAAGAAGGAACTTTTTCTGAAAATCTACTGTGGTATTTTGTTTTTGGACATTAAGGAATTTAACTTTTGTGTTATTTTATCCAAAATGATCAAAAAATATATGAAAATTATAACGGTGTAGGTTTCCGTAGTGTAGTGGTTATCACGTTTGCCTTACACGCAAAAGGTCCCCAGTTCGAAACTGGGCGGAAACAACATGATGAAACTTTTTCTGAAAATCCACCTGATTTTTCTTGTGTGTTTTAGGACATTGAGGATTTTTTTGTGTTATTTTATGCAAAATGATTTGAAAAAAATGTGAAAATTACAGCTGTGCAAGTTTCATTACTGTAGTGGTTAGCACGTTTGCCTAAGACGCAAAAAGTCCACAGTTCGAAACTGGGTGGAAACAACAACAAGAAGGAACTTTTTCTGAAAATCTACTGTGGTATTTTGTTTTTGGACATTAAGGAATTTAACTTTTGTGTTATTTTATCCAAAATTATTGAAAAAAATATGAAAATGAGTACAATGTAGGTTTCCGTAGTGTAGTGGTTATCACGTATGTATGGTCATCACGTTTATATGCAAAAGGTCCCCAGTTCGAAACTGGGTGGAAACAACAAGAAGGAACTTTTTCTGAAAATCTACTGTGGTATTTTGTTTTTGGACATTAAGAAATTTAACTTTTGTGTTATTTTATCCAAAATTATTGAAAAAAAAATAGGAAAATAAGTACAATGTAGGTTTCCGTAGTGTAGTGGTCATCACATTAGCCTTACACTCTAAAGGTCCCCAGTTCGAAACTGGGCGGAAACAGCAAGAAGGAACTTTTTCTGAAAATCTACTGTGGTATTTTGTTTTTGGACATTAAGGAATTTAACTTTTGTGTTATTTTATCCAAAATGATTTGAAAAAAATGTGAAAATTACAAATGCGTAAGTTTCCGTAGTGTAGTGGTTATCATGTGTGCCTAACACGCAATAGGTCCCCAGTTAGAAACTGGGCGGAAACAACATGAAGGAGCACTTTCTGAAAATCTACTGCGGTAATTTGTTTTTGGACATTAAGGAATTTAACTTTTGTGTTATTTTATCCAAAATTATTGAAAAAAATATGAAATGAGAACAATGTAGGTTTCTGTAGTGTAGTGGTCATCACGTTTGCCTAACACGCAAAAGGTCCCCAGTTCGAAACTGTGCGGAAACAACAACAACAACAAGAAGGAACTTTTTCTGAAAATCTACTGTGGTATTTTGTTTTTGGACATTAAGGAATTTAACTTTTGTGTTATTTTATCCAAATTTATTGAAAAAAATGTGAAAATTAGAACCATGTAAGTTTCTGTAGTGTAGTGGTCATCACGTTTGTCTAACACGCAATAGGTCACCAGTTAGAAACTGGACGGAGACAACATAAAGTAGCTCTGTCTGAAAATCTACTGTGGTATTTTGTTTTTTAGACATTAAGGAATTTAACTTTTGTGTTATTTTATCCAAAATTATTGAAAAAAATATGAAAATGAGTACAATGTAGGTTTCCGTAGTGTAGTGGTCATCACGTTTGCCTAACACGCAAAAGGTCCCCAGTTCGAAACTGGGCGGAAACAATTTGAAGGAGCTCTTAATGAAAATCTACTGTGGTATTTTGTTTTTGAACATTAAGGAATTTAACTTTTGTGTTATTTTATCCAAAATTATTGAAAAAAATATGAAAAT